TGAGAAGTTCAACGGAAGAAACCGGTTGCCATAAATGTCATCTCATTGAGAAACTTGATTATCTCAATTTTTTTTCATTCTTCCCACATATTATAGTATTTTATTGTGAAACAACTAAGGTTTTGGGCAAAGTCCAACGTTTGAAATCACATATTTCGTGCCGGATTAGTGTAGCAAATTGGTTCAATACTAAATTTTCGACCTCCCTCTTCAAATGGGCACGTAGTTTTTTTCGCAGGTTGGCAGCAAAACTAGGTATAATCAACAGTTTAATTAGAGAGCGATAAAAGAGTAGTAAATCAATTTCTATATATGGAAACTTAACCGCCTGTTGAGATCTGATCTCGTGATATGACATCGCGCGATATCGCGTGACATCGTGCGGTACCCAATCAAGTTCTTAGTTTGAACCAAAAAGTGGGAAGTGACTTCTCTTTAAAGTGAGAGGTCATTTCTCCGAAACTTAACACTCCTCCTTTCAAAATAAGTACTACATCATAGCGTAAACTAGTCTGGAGGTTCAGTTTTACCATGTCCCATTTATCACTTTTTTTCTCCGAGCTCAAATATCCTGATCAATTTACCTGCTCTGCTTTCAAACTTCCTACTCTCCCTTATCTTTGAAACCAACTTCATGTCTATACTCTTAAACTTCTTAACCTCGCATAAGTTTCTCGACTCCTCCTTACCTCGTTCATCTAATGACGTTTTAGTTTTTGGATGGGCTCTCGACTCATTTTTCAGCTCAACCTCTTTCATTATATGATCATCATTTATCATCAAGTTCTCATTTTGCTTTCTAAAATTTTCAGTCTTCTCTTCTGTCTCTCTGCAAAAATAAGTCTTATTGACTCTGAACTCTGAAGAATTGTTTTCCACTTTATCAACACTTATTTTTTCGTGATTTCTAAATCCTATTTTTTCCAAATAAAAAGATTTCCTAGCTCACTAAGTGGATAAACGGTCCCACTTCCTTGCTCAATACATGACTTAATCCAAAAACTACTTTAGCTCCTCCTCTAGTAAGTTTTGAGACGGACACTAATTTTTCTGAGTTTTCTGGTACATAGAAACAATCGCTCATTGAAACTTTTTCGAATTTCCTTGAGAATCTTTCACAAAAAACTCAACTCTTCCTTTACCTAAGACCTTAGAGTCCGTTTTGTTAGCGTTTTCAACAGTTTCGCTAAAATTCTGGTCCAGCTCAACAAATAAATTCCTATCTTTTATCACAATGCAAGCTGGTCGTCTCTCCCGCTTTTTCTCTCAAAGTCCTTCTCACAACCCCTAGCTATGTGTCCTATTTCTATGCACCTGAAACATTCACTAGATGCCTGGTTGACCTTATTCACTAACTTAGATCTACAATGAGCTGCTATGTGTCCTGTCTTTTTGCACCTGAAACATGTTTTTGTTCTAGAAATAAACGAATGTTCAGTCTCCTCCTCCTCATTCCTATGATCATTTTCAAGTCATTTTCAAGTTGAACAAGTCTTTCTTAATTTCGTTCAATTTCTAATCATCTTTGCTAATTAAACCAAAGTAGAAAAGGTATTGAACGCTTTTGGTAGGCCTTTAAGAATGATTGACACAAACATCTTTTCACTTAGACCCTCGTCGACTTCATCTAAATTATACTGCAACTCTTCAGCTCTAGTGATATAATCGACTACGCTCTCATTAGCTATCATTCTTATTGAAGTTAAATCTGAAATCAATTGCTGAAGTCTCGGTATCTCGGCGCTTTTGAACTTGAACCTTTTGCACAAAATTTCCCAAGCCTTACTTCTCTTGCCTTTATAGGGTCTTAAAAACAAAACAGAATTTTTGTATAAACATCGGACCAACTCATACCATACATGCAATTTTTTTCACCTAAAATTTCTCTCCCTTTTCTTACAAATGACTCTATCTGTTCTACAATAGCATTATTTCTAACATTGGGTGCAAAATCTTTCTCATCTACTTCTCTATTGATAACTTTAGTCAGTTTAAGATGAAAAATTCTAGCCTCAAATTGCTCTGCGAAGTACAAAAAATCTTCTTTTCCTGAAAACACTTATCTCTCTGACTTAGTTTTTTTTCACCTAAACCGTTTTGCTCTGAACAAATACCTCGAACTTTTGTTCCGCGCACTTTTCAATGACAAAAGTTCAGTCTATATTATAGCAGCAAACATATCGCAGCGCATAATATAAAATCATGTATCTCATTACCTGAGTCTTATCCAAAACCTAACGTTAAGCGTACTGAATAACACGTTAGCAATTTAGCAAAGCTAAGCTTACTTCACAGACTTCAAACATAGCAATATATATTAGCAAAATAGAAATTTTGGAGTGTTTTCTTTTGTGGAACTTCTATTCATTAAATCAGGTTCGAGTTCAGATCTCGCAGCGACGGGTTACAATCCCCCCAAGCAACAACAATTATCTACAAATTTATAAAACACCACATCAATTGAGTTTATCAAATTGAACAGTTTGTCAGTTTCTATCTATCACTTTTTTCTCTCTCTCTCTCTCTCTCTGTGTGTGTGTGTGTGTGTGTGTGTATCTCTTTCTCTCATGTGCTTCTTTCAGCTTTCCTTGTGACTCCAGACTTCACTGATCACTGAATTGTCTCAATGCTGTCTCAATGACTCTTTGTATTGCTCTGTTGTCTATCTGCCAGTTCACTATCTTCTTTGTGACTTTTTCCTCGGTGGTCTTTTTTGTGACTATAAACTGTGTCAACAATTTACAGCTTGCTCTCTCAAATTTTTTTGTTTAGTCAGTCAATCTTGACCTCTGACACGTATTTTAGCAGCTGGGCCCATAAACTTTTACAGCTTGGCAGTAAAACTAGGTATAATCAACAGTTTAATTAGAGAGCGATCAACTTCTCTATATATATGGAAAGTTAACCGCCTGTTGAGATCTGATCTCGTGATATGACATCGCGTGACATCGTGCGATATCCAATCAAGTTCTTATTTTGAACCAAAAAGTGGGAAGATACTTCTCTATAAAGTGAGAGGTCCTTTCTCCGAAACTGAACAGTTTTTTCTTTAGACATATGAAAATTTCTATTCACCTAGTTTTTTTTGAACTTGTGTTTTTTTGTTTGTGTTGTATCGCAAGTGGTTCGAAGCTACGATTTGCTTCTCTGTATTAAATTCAAATTGAACGTACATGTTGCCAAGTGGAAACCCATGCTTGAAACCTAAAGGGCAGTTGTTGGAGTCCAGTGGACACCTGTTTTTTTTTGTAAACTGGAAATGTGGATTACTTCAGTCAGCATAAAATTCTAAGATTCTTGCGACTTGTTTTTGCAACTTTTTTTTGAAATTTTATGGCTTGTCGATCATCTGACACCGATTGTATTTATTCAGTTTAATATAGCAAGAGTTTTTAGGCTTCGCTTCTGCCGTGTGTTAAAAATAGTGATCTTGCCTGAAGCAAATGACCTTTCAAAATTTTTAGTTTTCAAAAGTTTTTTTTTTACATTTTAATTAAAGAATGATAGACCAGTTCTTGATTTGCGAATTTCCGAACTTCTTCACTGCATTACGCCCTTTTTATGTAAAAAAAGCTATAGCCTTCGGGAAGTCAAGTTTGTTCATTTTTGGGACCAAGTTTTGGCCAAATCTGAGATTGGGGGCTCAGTCAATGGAACTGGTTGCGAAAAGGTTTGTGCAAAAGCTGCATTTCCTTAATTTCTGTATGAAAATTGCTATGCCCTTTGAAAAATCAGTTCTCTAAAATTTACACCGTTTTTGCAATTTTTGTAAGTTTCTTTCTCAAAAACTACCCTGCCAAATCTGATAATGAGTTCACTCAAAAAAGTGGGAATTAGGTTCTCTCCTATATCAGTGGGTTGGATTGAGGGCATAGGTTGAGACCTATTTTCAAAGTTTTGGAATTTTAAGCTCAACATTTTTTTATAATTGCAGTTTGTTTATCGCTAAAGATGTGGTTATTCCGAATTTTTCACCTTAGAATGCCGTCCGGTAAGTGAATTTTTTAAGTATCTTTTAATGCTATTTTTCCACTTAATTTTTCAAAAAATCTGTTTCCTTTTTTTCTATTCCCTTTTTTGTAATGCAATATTTCTTGTAATGCAATGCTCCGCCTCACCTCTGTGTTGAAAATGTGGCCAAAATTAGGTTCACGGCAATTTTTTTATTTATTATTTTGAACATTTGCGCTATATTGTCTTAATTAGTGAAGGAGTGAGATGCAGCTTGAATCTGAGCAAGTAAAACATCATGTTGTTGTGCATTTTTATCCGTTGTCACTCAAGGTCAGCCTGAAAACAATCATACTCTGACAATTTTTCTACCAACAAATTTTTTTACGCTAACAATTTTTTTTTCATGAATGTTTGGAGTTTCTTTGGTTTGCTGTTGTCCTTATCTGCAGCTATGCAAAACTGAATCAGAAATTTTGATGTAACCGATTTTAGATAGGACCGTTCATGAAGCACTATACTTTTTCCTCGGAAACAATTTTTCACACATCAGTAGTAAATGAGCTTGCTTTATCATTGATCCTTAACCAGTTCTAGACACTTCGAAAAAGTTGTGAAAATGTTTGGGATATTTTGACTTAATTTTGTTTGATTTTGCTCTGAGATATTGAAAACTGGGAATCAAAAGTAGTTAATTGTGATAATTTTTGTGATAAGTTAAACAACCATCTGGGATAATTTGGTACAGGATAGACTGGATTAGTGTGGATTAGTATGGAGGAAATTTGTATATCGGATATATCAGCATAGGGTATATTGATATAGGATAGGTTGGCATAGGATAGATAGTAGTGCCACGATTAAATTTATAGAAAGGCAACTGAGAAAAACATCGGATCAAGCCAGCATCCACCCCCTTTAAGCGGTCTTGGAGGGCGGATGTAAGCACTCAGAGTTGAGAATTTCATGCAGCGTTAAGGAACTTAATTCTAAATTAAAGGATGGGCGGAGATGTTTTACTTAGATCAATGGGGGTATTGGATGTTAACTTGGACTAACTGTTTATATGTACTGCTAAATGGGATTCTAACTTTCAGAAAATACCTTACATTGAATGTGGGTACATGAATGGACGTTGAACTGAGAAAATTGAGGAAGAAGTTGCGAGGGATAGATAGACTGGAGACACACAGCAGCCTGACAGCTGATGAGCAGAACAAACTATCACTCAGACCCCAACTGCAACATAGGATGGCACAGTTTGTCAATCAAATCAAACAGTAAGCAATGCACTAGCTGTTGCGTGGTTACGTAGCAGTATTTAGACAACCGCGTATTCATACTCGTCAGTAAGCAGACAAACACTATATTAACCGATCAGAATCAAGACAAGGAAGAAATTCGTACAATATATTAACCAATCAGAATCGAAACAACGAAGAAATTTGTAAATAATAATAATTTAGTTCGTAAGTTTGCTTTTTCATCTCGATTCTGATTGGTTAATATAGTATTTGTCTGCTCAATGACGAGTTTGAATACGCGGTTGTCTAAACCTAAACTGATTTCGGAATTAAAATCACAGCTCGAATGATTTTTTATGATACTACTCATGACCCTCTAATGAGAGTTTATAAAGGTGCCAAAAATTGCACTGAAAACCCGTCCACACGTCATAGTTTCAGAATCTACGAGCGTTTTTTTTTTAGTTCGACCAAACTGATTTTCTGAGCTCTCACAAATCAGTATAAAGACCCTATTTTGGCCAAGTTTTATGGCGGCACGGCAGGCGACAGTTTGAAAAAAAAACTGGCCGAAAAGGCATTTTAGGCACTTGAGATATTTGACCAAAAAACCGCGTTTTTTTGGCGTGTGCTCCCCCTTCAAAATTAATAGAGATTGGCATATTATAGAATAAAAATGAAGAAATCATTTTTATGGTTGTTTTTTTTGGGGGGGGGGGCTTGGGTAATTTTTCATAGTTTTATTACTATTTTTTATTTATTTGACAGGGTAGAAGTGGATGGTAAAGGGTCAACTGCTAACTAAAATAAATGATTATTTTCATAAAATTGTTCCAAATTATGTTTTTTTCCGAATCTGCTTTTAAAGCATTAGCTCCTTCTAAATTGGTTTTGGAGGCTTTGGTTTTTTTCTAATGTGTGAATGGAGAATGAATAAAATATTGTATTTATCGACTCGAAGAGTCTGATCGTTGCCTTTGCGATAAGCAGGTTTGTTGTAATCGGCTACTACAAGCGTTGCTTACACTTGCGAAACGAGTGTATTAGTACGAACCTTCTTTTTTTCCAACCTAAGTCGCAAATGAAAGTGCTACTTTTGGTGGCACTTTGATCGATAGGCTGCTGTAGCAGTGCAATGTCATATTTGCTTTAACGTTTGATTAGTAAACGTTAACAGAGTTGATGCATTTTTAATTCATCAACTGAATCGAAGAAAGTTATTTGTTTCAAACAACAGTGCAATGATAAAAAGCACGAATTCAGAAATTTCCCAACTCAATGTATCTCGCAATTTTTTTTGAAATGCATAATTTATATTTAAAAAAATTGGCTTTATGCTTTCCAATTTATTTCATGCAAAATTGTGCCTTTCTGTATTTGGTGTCCCTTTTGCGGCATCGAATTGGCAATTTTTTAGCATGTGTAGCTTCGTTATTAGTGGCTTGTTTTGGGGGGAATTCAAGCATACGTGGCTGAGTGGTTAGTACGTGAGGCAAAATTGCAAGGTCGCAGATTCGAATCCTACACGTAGCCGAGTTTTTGCTAATTCGAGGCTTATTTATACTCTTTCTTATTTCACTTGATAGAGCTGCTTTTTGGTCGTATTCTCGCAAGTGTTTGCGAAGCGCAGCTTCGCCTCTGTGTTTAAACTCTGGGTGGTTATATCGCTCCCTCTTGAGAGAAAAAATGGTCCCATTGCGCCTACAACCTACATTTATTTCGTATAACAATGGAGAATGAATGGCCTTAATTATGTTTAACCATGGTCACAGAATATAATTGAAATATTTGGTATTTCAAATCCGCTGACTGACCTATATAGTAAAAAGCTGTTAGTTTCGTCCAGCTTTCCTTGGATGATGTCTTGATTCCAGAAGTATGTGGAAATCAGGAAAAGGCCTGAGGTGACATATAATCTGAAATGATGCAAAGCATGATCTTATCTGAACCAATGATAAAACTCGAGACTGAAAAACACTTTTTTTAGTTGGATAACATTCAATTGATCTGTTTTGTTTGGTTTTTGAAGTTTGTAATCTCTCAACCTATACAGTAAATCTCAATATTCTGACTCGTTTCATAGTGTGATGTTGATACACATGATCTCTGATTAATGATTACAATTACTTCTGAACAGCTCGTATGTTGCTCCTTTCCTTTGTGGATAAATCGTCTTAATTATATAGGAAAGGTTTTCCAACTGTTAATGAACGAAGTGATATATCACTTATATAGGTGGCGTTCACGCAAATTTGACTTTTCGCAGTTTGATTTTTGCCAGGTTTTCGCAGTTTGACTTTTGATTTCATTTTAAATTTATTATTATCAAAGCTACGCTCTCGAGTAAAAAAAGCGAAAAACTGATCTGTTGTTCTTTTGGTTTAACTCTATTTCCGTTCACTAAACCATTTAGTCTGTTTCAGTTATGATTTCTTAAGTTCACTTCAAATTCATTTAATAAATTGAAGGAACATTACGCTTTCCAATAACGAAAATACAAATCGACCTAGAAACGCGAAAGATTTTTCACAACACTCTATTTTAGTTTTTATCGATCCAGTTTTCGAAGTTGTGATTTATCATAAATGTGCTCAGTAGAGAAGGTTCTCGAAAGTCAAATAGATGTAAGGTCAGATCTATTTACGTGTAAAATGCTTTAACAAATCAAATACGTTGTTTGTTTTCTTGAACTCCTTGACAAATTTCCATTTGACTGTTGGCTATGCTCCATGTTTGTGATGCATTTTGGTCTAATTTTGTAACAGTTGTCTACGACTTTTCTTATGACCAACAAGAAAATCATCCAAGGAGTCGGTTGTTGATAGAATTGATTGTGTCAATGAACGAAATCAAGATCGTTTTTTTTAGACTTGTCTTTTTTCTTTTAAATTTTGTTCATGTCTAAGTTCATTTTTGGTTTTTTTTAAAGTCGGATTCCAAATAACTTTCTAAGAGGAAAGGGAAATTACGTTTTTAATTACGTATGTGCAAATGGAGTGAAAGGCGTGCATGACTTTAGTTTCGAAAGTGGATTTAATTTATAGATTTCCCAGCGGAATGAATAAATAATACTTTGATCCAGGTTTTTCAAACTGGGTTATCGTTATCATGCTTGCGATAAGCAAGCGTATCAAACTGGAATCTAGACTTTTTTCTGGTTAACAACTAGTTTAACAGAATCACTTGAATCATTTGATCGCTTGCTTTATTAATGAAGGTAATTTTCATGAAAATGTTGGTACAATAGTGTGGTAGTAAGGATCGGGGCTATGTCGCGAAAGTTCAAGGGTTCGAATCCGAGATCATGCCAGTTTTTCTAATTCGATGAACGTAGTTCAGACTCTTATATAGGTCGCGATGATTTTTTCATTTTTTTCAGCAAAGTCTTAAAATTTGTTCAGGCTCAAATTTACTTTTTCGCGGTTTGACTCTTGCTTTCTTTTTAAGTTCAGTTCATTTCTTTTGATAAAGGAAGGCAAACTCCTCTATCGAATGTAAAAATCACAAAAGTGTGATTGACTTCTATTTTTGAAAATGGAATTTAATCATCAGATTTCCCAGCGGAACAAAAACTTTACCAATGATCCAGTTTTCTCAAATTGAGTTTATCAAAAAGTGCTAATGATAAATTGTTCTAGAAATTCAAAGATTTTGAAAGAACAAGTCGTTTTTTTTGTTTCCTTACGTTCACTTTGCGTTCATTTCTCTTTTCCAACTGTGAGTTGGCTATGTTCATTTTAGCTGCAAGTGTTGGTCATTGTGTTTTTAGGGGACTTGAAGCTTTTTAACAAAGTCTTTTTTTTCCGGCTCCTGGTGTCTGCTCAAAAATTGTCGGCTTTGTTTTCGCTTCGTCAGTATCGTTCCGTTGCTGAATTGAAATTCAAATAATTAGCTTGGCTTGTTTGCCTAGATAGAAATTTTATCGAGACATTCGGAAATTTGTGTAAATCTAGTTTTTCAATTCTTATGTTTTTTTCATGTTTTTGTTGTATCGCAAGTGATGCGAAGCTCCGCTTCGTCTCTGTGTTCTAGTGAACTATCTCCCCCTAAATCAAAATAGGGTTGAGCTAGTTTGTTTGTTCAAAAGTATTATTTTTAGCCTACCAGATTTGAGCGTGGTACGATTTTTTCTTTGGTCTATTTAGAAGGGAAGTTGTTCTCATGGGTTGAATTTTTTAAACTTTACAAAAGTGCGCATATTTGCCGGGTGTTTTTTTCAGAAAATTCTGTTCAATTATTTGTTTGTTTCAATTTTAAGAACGCAAGACGAGCAAACATTTTTAGATGTAAGGTCAGATCTATTTACGTGTAAAATGCTTTAACAAATCAAATACGTTGTTTGTTTTCTTGAACTCCTTGACAAATTTCCATTTGACTGTTGGCTATGCTCCATGTTTGTGATGCATTTTGGTCTAATTTTGTAACAGTTGTCTACGACTTTTCTTATGACCAACAAGAAAATCATCCAAGGAGTCGGTTGTTGATAGAATTGATTGTGTCAATGAACGAAATCAAGATCGTTTTTTTTAGACTTGTCTTTTTTCTTTTAAATTTTGTTCATGTCTAAGTTCATTTTTGGTTTTTTTTAAAGTCGGATTCCAAATAACTTTCTAAGAGGAAAGGGAAATTACGTTTTTAATTACGTATGTGCAAATGGAGTGAAAGGCGTGCATGACTTTAGTTTCGAAAGTGGATTTAATTTATAGATTTCCCAGCGGAATGAATAAATAATACTTTGATCCAGGTTTTTCAAACTGGGTTATCGTTATCATGCTTGCGATAAGCAAGCGTATCAAACTGGAATCTAGACTTTTTTCTGGTTAACAACTAGTTTAACAGAATCACTTGAATCATTTGATCGCTTGCTTTATTAATGAAGGTAATTTTCATGAAAATGTTGGTACAATAGTGTGGTAGTAAGGATCGGGGCTATGTCGCGAAAGTTCAAGGGTTCGAATCCGAGATCATGCCAGTTTTTCTAATTCGATGAACGTAGTTCAGACTCTTATATAGGTCGCGATGATTTTTTCATTTTT